TCTGAAGTTTAACTTAATTGGCGAAAAGTTAAGAGTAATAATTCAGGAACAAATTAGAAATAATTAGGAATTTCTTAAATATGATGTATAAATAAAAAATTTCATGATTTGTTGAATGTTTACTATCAATGCTTACTTGCTTTGTCCCAAGCATGTTTAATCAAATTATTAATCAAATTTTTCTGAATTTTACTGGTCAGAAATTAGTATTAAGAAATTACTATTTTATTGATCTGTTTAATTTGACTAGTTAGTTTCTATATAACTTACTGCTAATTGATTTTATCTAATTAGATTCTAATCAGTTACTGTTCAGTAAGTTCAAGATAATAAAAACTGGCTTTTTTTATGGATTTCTTTACGAGTAATTAAACATTTTTACATCATCAATTACATTATTATTTCCCTTCCCCCCTCCCTCTCTCTCTCTCTCTCTCTTTCTCCACAACTATACTTATATAACTTTTTCTTATATTTGTATTTTCCGTTATTATTTCTTTTTCTTAATTTTTGTATACAATAGAACGTTTCTATCATGTATTTTTCTTTATTTCATATTTTATTTGACTTTGTATACTTATAATGTTAACTTGCGAGAGGAAGTCATTCCAGGGCGCAAAATAAATGACAATTCTCTCATTCATTCATTCTTTTTTCTCATTTATTCTTTTCTTTTTCCTTCTTCTACTGTCTTCAAGAGAAAAGTCCACGAAATTCAAACATTGATTTGAAACTATTTATAGTACTATTTATGTAGACGAGCATCACTTTACTAATCAACGCGCTGCCGACGCAGCATCGATCGCGAACCATTTTTATCCCGAAACATTTGTAGTAATTAAATTAATTCCGCCGGGACTCGCCTGGTCAGGGATTGCTCAACGAATGATTGATGAATGTTACACTCTCATTACGGGCCGCTACTGTGAGAACACACGTAATACATAGGTACGAGCACGCCCGTCTATATTACGCTCATGTACGTATTTAGACGTAAACGTACATATCGACGTACGTACGTACGTGCGTATATAAACCATATGTACGTCTCTCGCGCGGTGCGCAGATTGGAATCATTAAGAACAGTTTACCCAGTCTTTCATTAGTCATCGACGATTTAATGCGTCGTTTGATTTCATCCATCGAGAGGCTGCCGATTACGTTTGTTTCGTTCTTTTTTGCGCGCATCGGGCGGCTCGCACGAAGGATCTGAGCTCTGCTCTTCCGCGCGAGAGACGGCCAGACGCGCATTCTCTCTCGTTAAAGTTTATTAGTTTATAATTATTTAATTGCCCGACGAATATCGCGATTTACGATGGATTATTGCCGCGTATGTATGTTAGATTTAACAGCATATATTAGATTTTATTGGCGACCGAGCTGCCGCCGCACTTCCACTGCGTTTCCAACCTGCGTGACACGCATAATTGTGGCTTTTATTGCTCGCCCAAAAAATATACGCTTGTTCTCCATTCGTCGTAGTAGCTGCTCGATGTCACCGCTCATCTCGCGACTCATGAATAACAAGTGCACGTATCGCGATTTCCAGAAACCTGAAACTCCGAGATGGACGGGACCGTGTTTTGCGTGCCGAGTGCCTTCGCCTTCTAGAATCGATGGAATCATGATTTCGGTGTGTCGTAAGAAACGGTCGGTGTGTCTTATATTCGTTGTCGGGTATTTTACTTCATCATTTGTGCGCGGTTTGTTTTTTTAAACGTTTGTTGTCGGCATTTGAAAGGTTGGTAAATATTCACAGTTAGTTCTTATATTTAAGGTCGCGTCTTAAGTATAGAAATGTTAACTGAGATGTTCCAATCTCCAAAAGATCGATCTTTTCAAACGACATTGGCCGATTTTAAATTAATTTCTTGATAAGGAATTACTTCTTTTTTAACAAAGAGGGAAAGTGTGTTATTTCTTTATTGAAGCTTTATCTTTCTTAAAAAAAATTGATTTTTGGCGAATTGATCCGGAAGTCGCACATCCCTACATTATTTTAATCCTCCGTGGTTTAATCGGGGCTTTTGAAGACCCAGGCGAACTTTCAATTATACATTATTCTTTCAAGTAGTGTTTTATTACTTTAAATATTACTATCCATGAAAATATTAAAAAAACGATGGAATGTGATATCGACAAATAAACGGGATTATTTATATTCCAGTTTTACAATACGTTTCGCGATGATAAATTGTAAAGCCTTTCATTCGCCAATATTTCTTGCTGGCTGCAGTTTTACAGTGATTCGAATAGCTCTGCTAAAAGCACCGGTAAACACCGTTATAAATTATTGCGGGGAACGCAAACGGAGAGTCGTTTTCTGCGCGCGCGCGCGCGGATGTGTTACGTGTAATTTGTTAATCGCGCCGGTGTTACAGTTACACTCACCGCCGGTGTAACCGGCCGATCGAAGTTGCGCTATTAGCGTCGTATCGTGTTTCACGACGCGAACCATTTGTTTGATCCTATGACGGGTATACGGCGCGGACAGAAGAGAGGCGAGCTTTTCATTGTCGATGTGTGCACGAGCATTCCCACGTTTCATCGAGAGGTTGTTGTCGGGGGAAACAATCGCGCGCGAAACCGGTCGCCGTGCTGTAAATCCGATCTTCTGCACGATTGTTTCGGAAATCCGATATCGACGCGAACACAGCGATCGATCACAGCCGCTACAAAACGATCCTCTTTTGATACAGTTAGGTGAGTTAGGCGTCATGTTGCATCGCGTTGCACATCAATATTTAGTTAGTTTTAGTGACAGATATAGAGGAACGTATAGTGTATAACAATTGCGTTATTTCTCGTGACAGAAGTAAAGCAAACGTAATGATTTATATATTAACAAGTTTTTATAAAATAATTAAAAATCTATTCTTTTTTGTAACGATTTTGACGATTTTTAAAATGAAGTTAAATTTTGATTTTGAAGATTGGTAGGACAATGTTTACATAACTTATACGTATTAATAAAATGATATTTTCGAGTTGTGCCACTTTCGAAGTAAAAAAGCGATGTATCACATAATTGATCATATTTTCTTCTACGATACTGCACATCCTTCTCTACTGACAGATATTAATGGCTGAAAGTACCGTTTCTGTCAACGTCCCGTTTTCGATACCAATGACGTTCGCGTCCAATTTGATTGCAATCTGTGAGAATTGGTTCCTTTGCGTGATTGACTATTAATTCCGTCGGTCATTAGACGATCGGAGGTGTGTCACAGGGAAATTAGATAGCGCAGGGTATACAAGCGACCGACAGGCTTAGGCCGAGTCGAATCTCTCGTGGGAACTGGTCGTGATTAGTTCACGTCACTACCGACGCTAGTTATGCTAATTGCGCTTAAGCACTTTGGCCTGCTATCAGCATCGAATAGCAGCGGCTATTGAAACCGCTGCTGAATAAGTCACGTACAGAAGGCTAGACTCTTTGTCCGTCCGTTTCGCCTATCTATACACCGCAACTTTCGAAAAATTACTATCTACGGAAAATCGGTGTATTAACTCGACAATCTCAGGTATGACAATCGACGATGTTGCGTGGGTGAGATTATACTTGCGCAACATCTAAGTCTCGTCAAATCGAGTTCCCCGCACAGTCGAGCGGAGTAACATCCATAAAATTACCATGTTGTGTAAACGGCGTATTATACTAATATTCATTTACACTAGCACCACAACGCCACGAAATACACGTGAATTAACTCGTTGTGATGTAAAGTCTCGAGATTGCTTCGCACCTTTTCTTAATATCTGAAAGGAAGAGAGGGACACCTACGCGGACGAGTCTTTTAAGATCTTCGTTGACCCTAAGCAATCACATTGAAATATACACACTGAGAAAAAAATATGGTTAATTTTAACAAGTATTTAGTTCAATACTGCCAACTAAACATTTGCTTACAGTAAGTAAAGTATTTGTTCAATAAAAAAAATGATTGTTAAATCAAAAGTTAACATTTCTTGTATCAAATAAATATATTTTTATATTTAATAAATATTTAGTTGGCAGTATTCAGCTAAATATTTATTAAAATTGACTATATTTTTTTTCAGTGCACCTTTGTATTAAATATTATTACGTAATTATTACATAACAGCTATAAGTTACTATAATGACTTTCGCTGAAAATTGAAACAAAAACTCTCATTTTGTATTCAAAAATTATTGCAGAATACCTTTGCATTATTCAATAATTTTACGAATAAAATATTATCTTATATGTATGTTTTTATATAATACATATTTTATAATATATGATATAATGCAATATTTATTATCTTATGATTTATAAAGCCTATTCATACTTCCTTTTTATTACATTAAAAAACACTAAAAAAACATGAGTTCAATTTGGGAATAATTACCTGGAACATTTTTACACACTAGCGACGAAAAAAATGTGAATTATTACAAAGTATTATTTTGAATGGATATTGTTTAACATCTTTTTCTGTATAATTATTTTTACGAATCCTTAAATATGCAATTTCATCGAAAACTCTCAATAAAAAATATTGCATTAATTAAAATTCTTAGTTTTTAGAAATATGTCATAATAAGCCATTTAATGTGTTTTTATTCTTTAATATTTGTTGGCTTCTAAACATTATACGCTCTATATCTAACATTTCCAAATAAATGGAAAGACAATCAATATGTTAATTTCATGTTGTAAATGAAACAATACTGATTTTAATTGGGATGTAAAAACATCCTAGATCGTTTACATCAAAAAATCAAGTGACTACTTCCTAGTTAATCGAAACAATTAAATCAAATAATATAAAATAAACGGTTTTTATTGTAATCAAATGTTTAAGTTAATACCACGTTTTTTTACATTTCGAAACCAACAAATTCCTCTTCGTAAATTAAACATTCTCGTACACTTGAAAAGGTGATAGATCACAAGTACTACGTCCAATGGGCAGAAACGCTTCCGTTAATGATAGTTGCCAGCCACTGACGAGCACGTTTCCTTCTGTTACAGGCGGCGGGACCGCCGGTGCAGCTGGAACCAGTGGATCTGTCCGTGAAAACTCCTGTGGTGTTGCAGGTGCCACGGTACAGCCCGGCGGCGATAATTAACGCCGTCGCAAGAAGAGTACCGTCGCCCTCGACGACGCCCACGCCGCCGCCGCCGCCGCCGCCGCCGCCGCCGCCGCGGTCTTCCCCGGTGAGTAGACTTGAATTTATGTGCACAGCCGTCTATACGTACACGGTTGGAATTTAAATCGAATCTTGCGACAGTAACACGATATCGCGGTACAGGCCCCCGGGGGTACAGCTCGAAAGAATGCATTTGCACTTGTTCACGGACTTGCATTTGCACGGATACTTCAAACTGCACCCTCAAACAGCGTTCACGGCTGCGTCGTAATTGCTGTTTCCGCGTTACGTGTGGGATGCATCAGAGAGATCGTAGGCGATGAATTGCTATTCTTCGATGAGAGTTTAGAGTCGACTTCATTGCGAGTTTATTGCTGGTTTCTGTGAAGATCCCGTGTGTTTATAATAGAAAGATAGAAAGACTTCGATTTCATGATTACTTAAACAATTTTCTCCTTTGAAATTTGCTTGCGATCGAATATCCAATTTCTTCTGATTAACGTTCACTTGATTAATTTCCAAGTGCGAAGGTACGCTTACTCGGCCGTTTGAGAGGAATTCATTTAAAATTCCATAGATCGTCCGCGAGAGACAGTGGAATTTTACATTATGAACTGCACGCAAACGAAACTATCAGGTTGTTGCTTCGCCCATCTTGTTTACGCATTGTCTGCTTTAAGCCATGTTTATACGATTCATCTTTAGAGATTACTTAGTATGAATCCAAAAAAATTAACAGACGAGTTTTTGTTCGTATTACAAAAACTGGACTGGAAAAACTTATGCATATTGTAAGATTTTAAATATTTTTACAGATTTCTTCCCAGTTGAAATCTATTGTTCGTTTTCACAATGCACTATAGTTTTGTGACATATAATTATATATTACTATAATTGTGATTATTACTGCTATAATCCAACGAAATATAAAGGGCTAATAAGAGTCAAAAAATTTAATAAAACTTCATTATTTGATTAATTAAAGAAAAAAATAATAAATCAAACTATAGAAAGTACAAAAGTTAAACCGTTAGAATACAATTACGTTATGTAATTGTATTCTAGTGGTTTAACTTTTGTACTTTCTAGTTTGATTTATTATTTTTGTCTTTAATTATACTTATGTTAATCAAATAATGAAGTTTTATTAAGTTTTTTTACTCTTATTAGTCCTTTATATTTCGTTGAAAAAAATGTTTTAAACATTAAGAGTCCTGTTACTTCAAGTTTTTTACTGCTGTAATGTTATTAATATAATGTTATTAATATAATAATATATTATATATGTACAGAGTTCTAAAAATGATTGCAATTGCTGTAAATTTAAATGTTAAATTATAATAATTGCAACAATTTTTTATGGTAATAATAACTATAATTTATAATTATTTTTAATGCCAACTATATACATATTTGTTGATAGAACTATATATATATTATTATTATTACTATAGCAGTAATTATTAATACAATACAAGTAATTTTTTACTGAACTGGTTTCAATTTTAACTCTCATCGCATTTGCTTCTTGTGAATTAATTTGATTGTTCCAACTCATTGTTCCAACTTCTGATACATTTTTATTGAAAGACTCAACATATTATTTAAATAATTTTATCATCATTATGGACTAATTGCGACCGATTTAATGTAACTGAGAATATTACAAGACAGAAAGCATTACATTATTGCGACAAAAGATAGATATGAAAGAATACTACCAATACTTTGCATAACTATAATCTGTAGAAATCTAACCATTGTATCTAACCATTTTATTAATTTTGTTAAATTTGCGTTCTTTACATGTATACACTGAGGATGACCTAATAATAAGGTCGAAACGTACGTTCTAAGAATTTGAAGTACATAAAAATTTGGTTTGTAGTCCTTTCTTGTTATTTATTCTTATTTATAGTAATAATTACATTTATGATAACATATAATTATAGCCACAAATACTTTTCTGTACATCTGTGATTTAAAAAAATGCCTAAACTAGATTAGATTTAGAGGAAACTTTTTCGTTTCTTTTGAAAGTAGAAACGAACCGTACAATTCCGCCTTTACGTAGCCGTGTACAGGTGCAGCACACTAGTACACAGGTGCAGGTGCAGCACGCGCAGAGTGGCCTCGCTGCTCGCTTATGGATAAACTATAGAGAGAGATCCTCGATTGCGCTGCTTTATGGGTTAATTATGTGAAATTTTTTCCGCATACCACATAGCGCAGACGAGCCCACCGTCGATCGACCATTCTATGGAAAATCTATGCGTGCAATAGTTGGTTTGTACGCTACACATCGGTGTGTGTACGTTTAAGGAACGACCTATGGATTATTCCTTGTCGTATTACGCGAGGTAGCACTCACGAATATGAATAAATTACGAAGGTGAATAAATTACGAATTTGTCCCGAATGTTTATAACTGCCTGCAATGTAGGATTCGTTTTTCGACGTTGATCATTTTTCATAAAATTTTAACACTGATGAATTATATTTCATAGTATAGTAAAGTTTAAACGTTGTTGGATTACGTTTCGTAGAATTTAAACATTGTTACGCGTTATTAAATATCGATATAAATGTAATGAGTAATGAGAATTAAATGTATATTCGTATTAAAATCCGAAATTTCTCTCGGATTTAAAATTTGACTTTATGAACATTTTTACACATTACATCCATTTTGATTCTTATTATCAATTTTGTAAAATTGATTAATGCCTGCTATACATTACTTTCTTGTACATATAAAGTACTTTGCTATACGGAAGTGTCGTACTTTCACTTGATCATAAGAAAAGACAGAAAAGTAATGTTGTTTATGAAAGGAATATTTGTAATTTTATAAAAACTGAGATACTAAATAAAAATTATAGAATTTTAATGAGCAAAAAAAATGCATATAAAATTATTTCATTTATTTTCTAGTTAAATTATTATGTTAAAAATTAAGTATCAAAAATTTTTTCCTTAAATTAGCCTCAATAACTATTCTTAGCCTTTAATAATTATTCTTATTTTTAATGAAGTATCTATAGAAAGAAAAAATATAACATGTATACGGGATGTTCTCTGCGGGAAGTGGAAAGAATAATCGACTAACCGTGAACCGGACTTTCTACAGAATTATTCTGAATCACATTTCAACATAATTACGACACAAAATAATAATCCAAAGTGCGTAGACAGATGTTCGATTCGCCTTGAAATCTCAAGGTCGATGTGTTCACCGGCGACTTCCCAATTAAAAATCAACATGGAGCGAGGATGTAGTCTTGTTGGCGGCTACTAGTGGAGTTGCAACGCGATTGAAGAAAAAAAAAAAGAGAAAAATCCTCTGAAATAGCCTTAATACGCCGTAATCGTCTCGATAAAGGAGCGAACCGTGAGCAAAAAAATAATCGCCTTAGCGCTCGCAACGCTTGGCAACGGCGCGCTTAATTGTTCAAATCGCGAAATCGTTCGCGCAGGTAACGCCTCTTTTTTATTGGGTATAAAAAAAAAAAGAAGGAAAGAAGAGAGCGACCGACGGACGTAGCGAAAAACGACGCGACCGACCGGGAAAGAAACGCGGCGCCGCGCGACCAGCTTAGTGCCCGTAACTCGCAACGTTCACTTCCATTTCTGGATTAATGATCACGCACACCTGCGAAGTTGTATCCGAATACGATTGGGGTCGCAACCCGTAAGTTCTCGCCAGCGGGCTCGCGTCGCCTTAACACCCGTGCTCGTGATCGCACGGTTTAACCGGCGCGTGTAGCTCCTACTCGGTAGGAAATATTTTTTCTCGCGCGTTTACGCATCCAGTCTCACACGCGTATCACTTCGCCCGTCGTGACCGATACTTCGCCGAGCGGCGAAGAATCTCTCCGCGCGCGAAATCGCCTTCCCGGATTCCGTGATTTACGCCGTTGGAAAGCCGGTTAATCCTTTCGCACCTAATAGGTGTTATGCGTTCCGCAAAGAAAATAAACTGACGAACGTTTTGTAAAGCATTCACGAAGCGCGGTACGCGCTACGTGTATTACGTAAATTCGATTGCGGCTTATTAAAAAGTAACCGGGGTGAAAGCATTCGTACGTATGTGGGATCTTGGAGGTTCGATACTCTCTCGAACATTAATAACCGACGCGAGGAACGAGATTGTGTATAGGAGTTCGGTACTCCTAAGCGATATAACATGCAAATCTGCTGAAATGATTTCTCGATCGAGGCACACTTTCTTTTAGAATCGCAGATCATCCGAGTGGAATTGCTATTGATGGTATATTTTATTATACGTGTCTAATATACAGGTTGATCTTGGTGAAATAAAATCATATCCTTGATGTACCTTCGGAAAAAGATCTCCAAGAGAACGATTTCTAAGGAAGGGGAAATTTTTAATAACATGTGGATCTGGACATTTCATAAATATTTGGATACTTTAGCAAAATCGTTCTCTTTGTGTATCAAATGTATCCACATGTTACTATAAACTTTCCTTGGAAATCGTTCTCTTGGATTTCTTTTTCCAGGGGTACATCAAGGACATGATTTTATTTCACCAAGATGTCAAACGTAAATATCTTGTGCAATTAAATTGTGATCGCTATTGGTATAACCATAACTATCGACATATTGCACATTTGACATGAAATGAAATAGTACCAACTTGATATCCTTCGTGCCATTAAAAGTATTCACATAGAAATTAGATAATTTTCTTAAGAAACTTTTTTATTCTTTATACGATAAAAATTCTTAGAAATATGTATGTGCTTGTTTTTATTTTTCATTATTTCATATCGGAGAATCATTGTGTACACCTTATATTTTATGAAAATTCTACATGTAATACTACAAAAAAATCAGTTTAATATTGTTTAGTATGAAATAATCGGACATGAGTAAAAGATTTGATTGGTAACTTAGGTCGTTATTCGCGGACAAACCCTCGTTGCTCGGTTAAAGACCTTCGTTGGATCGGACGTTTACGTTGTTACGTGTAAAAAAACGGAGATCTCGCTCGTGGCGATATATCGGCAGCACGTGACATTCCCTGCCGAGATGAAGGATTCTTGATATTCGCGAGCGACCGAGAGTGGTCAGTGGTCGATAATACATCCATTCGGATGGCTGCGGCATAGACGTTCTATTGTTTTCCAGTAAACTCCACCGGTGATCTCCCGCGGTGATGTAACGCAGAACGGATGTTGGAGATTGCCGGTAACCGTCGTCGTTGCCCGGCCCTTTCCTCGACTTTCAGCGGCTGTTCACGTCCGCGGTCATAACTCGCCTCCCGATCGTGGCTATCGGAAAATTCCTATCGTGCGTGAACGCCATATACGCACCGCGAGAACAAGAGTCTCGATCGCATGTACCGCCGCCGGTGCCAAATC